AACATTTTTCTGTACAATCAATAAATAATGAGGTATGAATTTTAATCTATTGGACTGAAAAAAACAATAAAAAACTGCGATGCGGAGGATCTTCCTATTAAAATTAAGAGCTCATATTGGGTGAGAATTCTTTTAAGGTGTCTAGGAACCCAATTTTGCGTGGCACTTGAAAAAAAAAAAATTGATTTTTTTGACTCACCTTAATATATGTGTATATATATGTATTACTCCCATTGCTTTCATTTTCTTTAATTATAAAAGAAAAAAAAGTATTTTGACACAATCTTGAAATGATAAAAAAAGAAAATCAACACTTTACTTTTTTTTTAAATTTTTTTTTTAATTTTTTTTTTATCATCAAATAATTAAACGTGTTACAAAATGTTTGTGTAATGGATATATAATGACGATGAAAATTAGTCATATACAATTTTTACATATTATATATTCAATACTATTACTTTTTTTTTATGAGGCATTTACGATCTTACGTTTTAATATAAAACGTGTCACGTTTATTATTTTAATTTTATTTCAATCGTAATATTATGCAACAAGCACACACACATTCACATCACACATACACATAGTTCTTTATTTTTTATTTTGTGCGTTGCGCTAAAGGAATAAAAATGAAACGGCATGTATACGATAAAACAGAAAGACAAAAAAAATAAAAAAAGAAATATCAGAATAAAAAGTGTGTAATAATACGTCTATAGAGACTGACGTTATTGAATATTACCAATGATATTTTTTTTTTTTTATGTTTTGAAATGTACAATATTACAATAAAGATACGAAGAAGAGAAATCATATTTACAATGTTACGTAGTGTTTTTAACACGTTTATTATAAACACGATCTAATAACAAGTATTTTTTACTTATCATTTTACTAATATTCAAATTTAATTTCTTTTTTTTAATCTTACTTTCAATTATGCGAAATATTATGATACGATTCATACTTTTGACGGGTTAGAATATAAAAAGAAAATAGAGAAAATATTTTAAATAAGAAAGGAAGAAATTGTATAATTTCATCATACAGGATTTAAAATTGAATTAATAAAAAAAGAAATAAATAAAGAAACAGAATTTGTAGGATTTAATAATGCAGGATTTGCAATTGAATTAATAAAAAAAAAAAATAAAAAAATAAATATAAAACAAGAAACTTAAATTGTAGGATTTAATAATGCACCATTAAAAAATTGAATTAATAAAAAAAAATCAAAGAAATAAATATAAAAAAAGAAACAGAAATTGTAAAATTTAATAATACACTATTTTTTTTTTTTTCCTTGAGGTTTGTTAACCCGGGTGCTCAGTCTCTGGACCATTGTGTCCGGGCCCCTTGCGGGGAAAACCTATGATCGTAGCGGTTCCGCGGGTAGCCCCGACTCCCTTGCAAAGCGCAGCAGTCTGGCCGCCCCTCAGCCCACTAGGTCGAAAATGTTGTTGGCGGTGTTCCCAAGGACATCATTTCTGACGTCCGTTAGCCCAACGCATTGAGTTATGAGATGGAGGGTGGTATCCTCCTCTTCGCCGCACCTGCTGCAGACCGAGTCTTGTGCAAGGCCCAGTCGCGTAAGGTGCTTTCTAAGGTGCCAGTGCCCGGTGACCAATCCTACAACCAGCCTCCATTGGGCTCGGTCTAGGTTGATCAACTCGGTACCTAGCTTTTCCGAGGGCCCTGAGAACAGAGCCTTCGTGTGCCTCATGCCAGAGCCTTGCACCCAGAGATCCTTGAAGCGGTCCGTGGCCCACTTCTTAGTCCTCCTCCGCATAAGCCCCCCTGACACGCTGATGTGGCACCGGTTTGTCGGATCGTGCCGTGAAGCTCCAAGTCTGGCAAGCTCGTGCGCCCTTTCGTTGCCCTGAACGCCACTGTGACCCGGCACCCATAGCAACTTCACTCTGTTGACACGGCTAGGCAGTGTCAACAGGTCGACGCAGTCCTTCACCAGCCCTGACTTGACCACGGTGCTGTGTACAAGTCTGAGCGCAGCGTGGCTGTCACTACAGATGTAGATATGTTTGTCATAGTATCCCCTTTCCAGGATACTGTGGGCATAGGCCCGAATGGCAAACAGCTCCGTCTGGAGAACAGAGGCGGTACCGGTTAGGGTGTAGGACAGCTCAGTCCTAGGCCCTCCAGACCAGACCCCTGCTCCCGCGTTGGAACCCGCTTTAGCTGCATCCGTATACCAGACGGGCCCTGCGGGTGCCAATAAATGATTTGGGTCCGCTGCCTATGATTGTCTGTCTGGGAAGAGGACCTCATAGTTTTGCTGGAAATGGTACTCCTTTGGGCACCAGTCACCCCCAAGACGGTTGACTTCCTCGAAGTCTTCCGTTCTTGACAGGATCGATGCGTGCCCGTAGGAGGCCCGCCTCCAGATCCCACTGACTAGCAGCCTAAAGGCTGCGCTTCTGGCTCTCTCCTCCGCCGCAATGTGCGGAGGTAAGATGTTGAGCAGGGCACCTAGAGCCAGGGTCGGGGTAGTGCGCATCGCGCCCGTAATTCCCAGCCCTGTTAGCCTGTAGACCCTGTCTAACGCTTTCCTGTTTTGAGCCCGCTCGACGCCGGGCCACCAAACTAGGGAGGCGTACGTCAGTTGAGGGACCAGTATGGAGGTGTAAATCCACCTAACCATCCGTGGTTTTAACCCCCACGTCTTTCCAAACATCTTCTTGCAGGCCCAGAAGGTATTAATAGCCTTCCTGGCCTGGTTGTCGATGTGGCTTTTCCAACTGAGTTTGCTATCGAGCATCACCCCCAGGTAGCGAACTTCCCGGGAGAACGTCAGCTCAGTTCTAAATATTGAGGGAGGCCTTATATTGAAAAGCCTGTTCCTCGTAAAGAGCACCATCTCAGTCTTATTCGGGTTCACCCTCAAAGACATCGATGTGCACTAATCCTGAACGATGTCGAGCGCTCTTTGCATCTTGCTCGACATCGTTGCCGGGTGATTTCCGGTTACCGCTATGCAGACGTCATCGGCAAACTCAACCGTTTTAACCGCCAGCTCCCCGAGCCTACTCAGGAGCCCGTCGACAACCATGAGCCACATCAGTGGGAAGGTAACTCCACCCTAAGGGCACCCTCTGCCGACGGGAGCCCTGATATCCGTCCCGCTGAGACTAGCAGTGATGATACGTGAGCGGAGCATGAAGTCCATCCAGTGGACGATAGTGTCGTCGATGTGGAAATCCCTCGCTGCTCCGCATATAGCTTCGAAGGAGGTGTTATCGAACGCCCCCTAGACGTCTAAAAAGACTCATAACGTGGCTTCTTTCTTGTCGAGGGCACCTTCTATCTCGCGAACGAGGCCATAAAGAGCCGTCTCGACAGAATTAGTTGATTGGTAAGCGTGCTGCGATGGCTGCACCGGCATCCTCGCCAGCGCTCCATCTCTTATAAACCTATCAACGAGTCTTTCCAGCGTTTTCAGCAAGAAAGACGTTAAGCTGATGGGCCTAAAAGCCTTGGCTTGGTCATATTTGTCTTTTCCCGTTTTTAGGATAAAGACTATTTTGACCTCCCGCCATGGCTTAGGTACGTATCTCAAGGCGAGACACGCTCTAAAGACACGGATCAGATGCTTGACTAGCCCATCCCCTCCATTCTGAAGAAGGGCGGGGAAGAGCCCGTCAGTCCCCGGGCTCTTGTACCCGTCGAACGAGTCCAGAGCCCAGCGAATCCTGCCATACGTTACCACTGCTGCAGCAGTGGTCCAGTCAACGGGTCTCGTGGCGCGGATCTCCCCCTGAATCAAGGGGTTATGCTCGACCTGACCAGATCCCGGGAAGCGTACCTCCAGTAGGTGGGCAAGAATGTCCTCGTGTTTCTCAAGCTGCTCTCCGTTCGGGAGAGAGAGTCCACCGAGGCTTGGTTGTGGGCCATTGGCGAGGACTTTGCGAAGTTTTGCCACTAGAGGAAGGACCTCAAATTCAGAGCAGAATTTCCCCTAGGCCTCACGTTTAGATTTCTTAATGAGTTTCTTATAGGCCCTCTGCTCGTTCCTATAATTAGCCCAATTTTCAGAGCCATTTGATTTTAAGGCCTTATTTAGGAGGCGGCGAGAACTCGAGCGCAGTGAGTTCAGCTCTTTGCTCCACCATGCTACTCTTGTCCTGTCCCCCCGTGTCTTAAGAAGGCAAGCAGCTTCGAAAGCCTGAGTGATGGAAGAGGAGAGTAAGCTTACTCGTTCCTCAATCAGACCCTCAGTCTTATTTCCCCGAGTCTGCCTTCAAGATTCCTCTTGTAGAGAGCCCAGTCAGTGGCCCTTGGGTCTCGGTAGGTCCTGACAACGGGCTGTGCCATCTCAGTCCTGAGCTTGAAGAAGATGCGGCGGTGATCCGAGAGTGAATCCTTATCGTCCACTCGCCACTCCTCAAGCAACCGAGCCACCCTGGGGGTGCCCAGTGTTAAGTCGATCACCTCTTGTCTCCTCGAGGTGACGAAGGTTGGTCTGGATCCCCTGTTGAGGATCTCCAGATTCGACGACGAGAGGTATTCCAGCAAAGCCGTCCCTCTCTTATTTGTATTAGAGCTGCCCTATACGACGGGGTGCGAGTTAGCGTCGCACCCGATCACAAGGTCCAGCCCTTCTCTGCGGCAGTGTTCCACCACGGCCCTCAGTTCCTCTGTAGGCGGATGTTCGGTCGAGTCGTAGGAGAAGTACGCTTAACAGACGATAAGGTCGGTCAGCCCACCTCCTAACCCTAACCTAACCGAGGCCACCGCAAGGTCCCTGCTGCAGAATCTGCTTAGCTTCAGGGCGTGGTGCTTTTTGGATACAAAGACACACGCCCTTGGGCCGGGTTTGCGTTGATCATATACCAATGTCCCCATGCTGCGATGTATCCCCTTAACAAGTTCACCATGGATCCAGGGTTCTTGTATGAGGGATATGTCTGCCCTCTCCACTGCTAGGTTCCGGCTGAGAACCGCCGAGGCCGCTATGCAGTGTTGCAGGTTAATTTGTGAGAGTTGGAGGCACGCTGCCCCCTTAGGTGATGGCGCGTGCGCCCTTCTCACTCTGTTTTGATTTAGGGAGGGGAATGGGGTGGGAAAGGGGGGTGGAGGGGATAGGTATTGGAGTGGGTATGGATAGGGGATGAGGGCAACAAGTTACACTACAGGCCATCGTCCTTGCCCCCCCGTCTTTCAGATGTCTTCGGGGCCTCTATGGTCCCCTGGGGCGTTGTTTACGGCCCCGTTAGGGATCCAGCAATGGCCCATTGGAGCCACGCCGGGTCTTCGCACGGGTCGTCTTGAACAGGGCGATTGCCTTGGGTGGTCTACCTCTAGCCCTCGCTCCGCCTCCCGTTTTACCGTCGGACTGAGCTCTTGCTACTGCGTCCTTTGCGTCAGTAGGCGCTTGTGACGCGCCGGCAAATTCACACGCCTTGGCGTCAGCCTGGAGACGGCTCCCTGCGCAGCGGCGGTCCCTGTAGCTGCAGTCGGCTCCACCAGACCCCCCCTCCGCTGCGCGTCCGCTTCCGAACCACTCTTGGTCTTCACAGGAGCGGGTGCCCGCCCTCCCGCCTTCGCCCGACCAGGGGGCTTCGTAAAAACGGGCCCTGCCCAGACCGAAGTGAGGGGCGAGCTTCTGCCTCTTCAACTGGCCCAGATAGGCCGCATTCACGCCTAGCACAGCGTCACGTCCCTCATCCTCCACGAGGAGGCTGAGAGTCCCGGGTTCTGCCTCTGTAGCCTTCTGAGGACGGTGGGCATGCTTTCGTCCGTGTTGGGGAACACAGCCATCATCTTCTTCAACCTTGGGAGGTTTTCCCCCTCCAGCACCTGGAATTGAGCCCCCTTCCAGGGTTTTAGGCTCGGGACAATGGCTTTAAGAATCAAAGAAATTTTACTATTTAACAATAAACAATTTGAAAGTGCATTAAAAAAAAATAAAAAAATTAAAAAAGAATCAAAGAAATTTTACGATTATTAATTACACGATTTAAAAGTGCATCAAAAAAATTGAAAAAAGAAACAAAGAAGTTGTACGATTATTAATTGTACGATTTAAAAATGAATTAAAAGTGAATTAAATAAAAAAAAATTCAAAAAGAAACATAGAAATTGTACGATTTAATAATGCACGATTTAAAAGAGCATTTAAAAAAAAGAAAGTAAAAGTAAAAAAAAGTAAAAGTCAAGAAAAAAAACTGGATATGATAATTAGGCAAACAAAAAAATCTTATTTAAGACGACAGAATTTCATATAAATCGTCGACTAATTTTATACTCGAATTATAATACTTAACTCCTATCTTTCTTTCTCTCTCTCTCTCTCTCTCTCTCTCTCTTTCTTTATACTTGTCAAGGTAAAGAAGAATGAAAAGTTGAAGGGGTAGGATGTGAAAGATGAGGAAGACAAGGAAAGGAGAGGGGTGTAGGAGGGGGTTAGGATGAGAATAAGTAGAATCCGTTGAACAAAGCGTGTCTCTAAAGTCTAGACGACCCTACGAGACAAAAAGTGAGAGTGAGGTATGAACAGTGGAAAGGGGAGGGTTGAACATCGGTGTGATGGGGAATTGGGGTGAAGGGGTAAGGGGGTGCTAGGGTTCTGGGTACGAGCAAAGCTTATGCTCGATGAACGGGAAACGAAGTAGAAGAAGAACAACTAGAAGAAGTAGAAGAAACATATATATATATATATATATACACTTATGCATACATCTATGTACACATCTATGGATCGTCTTTTCCTATGGGGTTCTTTGTTTCTTTCAGTCTACGTTCGATAACACTACTACTAATGCTACACCATAGGTACTCCCTTACTTCGTAGCTTCTGTGCATATTTTTTATTCTTGTTTGGTTCTTTTTTAGTTTTAGTTTTCATCCTTGTTTTTGTTTGTTTCTTTCTTTATCATGTGTATTTGAAACTACTACAAATACATGTTGGATATGTAAATGATTATGTTTTGTTGTGGGGGGGGGGTTAGGATTTTGTATTATTTTCATCGTTTATGAGGAAGAAGAAGAAGAAGAAGAAGAAAATAATGTATGTAGCTTTTTCATGTATCTTTTCAGATTGAAAACTACCCCTTTTTACTCTTACCCCTTTGATAAACGGGTATCAATGAAGGAATAAATTGTATTTTCAAATTTACAAGTATTATTGAAATTTATAATATTAAAAAATTGAAAGGTACTTACGTATTAACGCCACCGCAGCAAAAATTCCGCTAATGCGCCAATAAAGAGCAATCTTGTTGTTCGCATACAACAACCTTGTTGTTTGCACACAGCAACCGTCAGGGTTTCGTCAGGGTTATGGCGACAGCATCAGGTGAAAGAAAATAAAGACAGTTTTGAATCTATGTTAAATTCTATGTCGGCCTATTTTCCATCGAAATCTGATTGAGTACTTTTTATAAATAAAATGTTTTGAATTTTGAAAGTGTTTTGATTATAAATAAAGTTTTTTATTCTATGATTTGTCGCAACAATTTAAGGTGTAGATTGGCGCATTAGCTGAATTTTGCTGCGGTG